ATAGGCATGAAGGGATATTGATTATGATTTTGTTATAACATGCCTCTGATAAATTAAAATGTTGAAAACACATGAGTTATCAAATATATGAAATACTTTGCAAGCCTCAAAACATCATTACAAAAAATGATATTATTTTTCATGAAGGAATTTCCCCTTAAAATAGAGGTAGGAAAGGTTACTGAGATGAAGGGGGTGTGGCAAAGGTACAAATGGTTAATAAAGACAATTTTTTGCTCATTTTATAATTACCTAAGACTAGCATGCAGAATGCAACTTTCTGTACTCTTTAAATGGTGCTTTTTTTTTTTAACTTAAACAGAAGTATAAGTATCTGTAACCAGAAAGTAGTAAGGATTTAAGAATGGAAATAATGCTAATAAGGTTGTTTGACAGAAGGGAGGCCCAAGCTAGTAGCTAATGTCAATTATCCCATTGGGTTAGATGGATAGTGTAATTTTTTTGGTATTTTTCATGAATCTTCTTTGTGCCTTATGTTACCTATTCATCTACATCTTAAAGGTCTAAGATGTATGGAGAGTTGTTTACAATTAATGTAATCATATGAAATTCAAGCAGTATTTCAGATTTTGGGGTATACAGAAATGTAAAATGTATGACAAGGAATTATAAGACTATATAAGAACCATATGTAAGAACTTGCTATAATCACTTCTTGAGAATCAAAAATCTGAATTAAATGGAGGGGAAGAAATTATAAAAGAAAAATAGGAAAGATTCTGGTTGTTTTCAGTATTCAGTATATTTCAATGTGTCCTATTGGCATCGTTGTATATTATGTATAACAAGTACTGTAATTTACTATTATATCTTTAACAAAACAACAACAAAATTATTTCCAGAACTGCCTATACTTATGAATTAAACAGGAAGACCTTTTGTATTGTTTCTGCCTCTCTTCCCAACCATAAGGTCCTCAAAAACACACATTTCTTCCAATCACAAAATTTTATGGCTAGAAGGACTTTTAGAAATTATCTAATCTCAAATGAACTTGGAATCAGGAAGACATCTTCAGGATTTCAAATCTGGCCTCAGACATTTACTAGTTGTGTGACCTTGGGCAAGTCACTTAACCCTGTGTATCTCAGCTCCTCATCTGTAAAATGAGCTAGAGAAGGAAATGACAAACCACTGCAATATCTTTGCCAAGAAAATTCCAAATGGGTCATGAAGAATTGGACATGACTGAAATGAATGAACAACAAATCTTTTATTCTACTGTTATTTTGAAGTTAAAGGAAGAGAGACAGAGAGGTAAAGTGATTTGCCCAAGGGGATATAGCTAATTAGTGATAGAACTGGGACTAGACTAGAACCAACATCTCCTGAATCTCAGTCCAATCTTTCCACTGTACCACAATGCTTCCCTTGTTGAAACAATCTCTCTGTTCTCAGCTGTAATTTATTCCTGTTTTACTTTAGCTTTACTATATCAAGAAATATTTTCATTTCTGCAAAGAGCAGACTGATGTACTAAGTAAAGTGCCCAACCTGTAGCTAGAATGACCTGGTTCAAATATTGCTTCTGATACTTACAGAATTATCTTAACTTCTTTGATTCTCTTTCCTCATCTGTAAAATGGAGACAATTCCTGGGTTGTTTTAGGTACTAATGACAAAACGTAAAAGGCTTTGGAAACTTTAAAGCACTTTAATGTATGTATAAACATAAGTTATTATTATGGACAATAAAGACTTTGCAGAAACAATTTCCCCCCCAAAATCAAAGGCTTTATTAACATAAAGTACAACATATAGAATGTCCAAATTTGCCTCCCAAAATCTATACCAAGTACAATTTTTTAAATCCTACTTGAACCCATTACAAAGACAATTATAATTCAGTAATAAATTGTCCAGGAATAAGGGGCCAACTCAAAGTCAGTCAGTCAATAAACATTTAATAAACACCTGCTATGTGCCAGATACTGTGCTAAGTGCTCTGGATACAAAAAGAGGCTAAAGACAGTCCCTGCCCTTGAGGAGCTCACAATCTAACGGGGGAGACAACAAGCAAACAAATATGTAGGAGAACCAGGACAGAGTGGTGTCCAAAAACCTAGGGAGAATAGAGTATCACGGAAAAAGTGGCAATTGACAGCGTCAAAGTCTATAGAGAGGTCAAGAAGAACATGGCTTGAATAATCATCATTAGATTTGGCAATCAGGAGATCATTGGTAACTTTGAAAAGAAAAGTGTTGATGTAGTGGTAAAGTCAGAAAACAGATTGTAGAGAGTCAAGAAGAAAGCAAAAAGAGGGAAGTGGAGCACCCATTGCAGATGGCCTACTCAAGGAGTTTAGCCACAAATGGCAGGTGAGATATGGGATGGCAGGATGGAAGGATCAAGTGAGGTTTTTTTTAAGGATGGGAGAGACATGAGTAAGTTTATAGGCAGTAGGGAAGGAGCCAGTTTATAAAGAAAGATTAAAGATAAGTGAGAGTGGGATGACAGAGGGCAATCTGTTGGAAGAGATGGGATAGAATGGGATTGCTTGTGTAGAGAGGAGGATTTTCCTTGGCCAGGGCTACCTCTTCATGTGAGACAGAGATGAAAGCAAAGGTAGTGGTAGAAGGCATCTGAGTGATATGAGGAGGAGGGGGAAGGAGGAGCTCTCAACAAATAGCTGTATTTTTTTTTTTTCTTGTAAAACATGAGGCAAGGTTCTTAGCTGAGAGTGTGAGAGGGGTGAGTGGCAGCCATTGGAAGTTTGAGGAGGGATAAAAAGGTTTGGAAGAGCTGCTATCCAGAATGGGGTAATAAGTTGATGTGGCAGGTATGGAACTGTTGCCTAGCAGCAGTGAGGATTTAATTGAGATTGTATAATTTTGTGGTGGATTCATTCGGAATGATTGTGATTTTTTTCACCTGTGCATGTGAAGGCCTCTGATGGGGGGAGTGATCCAAGGCTGAGGCTTGGCAAAGCACAATCAGAGATGTAAGGGGGCCAGATATTCAAGAGAAGAGGAAGGTGTAGAGTTGAACTGGTTCACCAGAAGGTCAAGATGGGGGAAAGAAGAGAAAGTAATTAGTACAGGGGAGATAGCCTGGAAGAGAACTGAGGGGGTGTGAAATGGGAGGCTGAAGTATAAATCAAGAGTAGAGTTTGGTATAGGAAGGCAGGGGGAAGTGGAAAGCCAGTAAATGATGATTAGCTAATGGGATTTTGGAGTTCCTGGAAAAATGGAATTGGTGCATTTGTGAGCTTTGGTAAGATGGAGGGTATGACCATCTTTGTGTATGGCTGAGGTGGGAATTAAGGAATAGCAGTAGGTTGTGGCAAGTGAGTAAGTTAAGGAACTGAGTGGTTAGGATGTTTGAAGGAGTGTCAGTATGTTGAAGTCCTCTAATATGAGGGCAGGAGTTGGGGAGAAGAGAAAGATTTAGAGTTAGGTACTGAATTTGTTGAGAAAGGAAAGATTGCCCTGGAAATCTAAAGACAATGGTGACCAGGATTTTGATTGGGTGGAAAATATAGATTATATGGACCTCAAAAGGAAGAAAGGATACTGAGTGATGGAGGTAGGGGGAGAACCTGGAAGTGGCAATGGGAAGCAATAAATATTATAACTTCTCTGCCTCAACCAGTGAGCCAAGGGGATTGACAGAAAATTTTCAAAATTTCAAAACAAAAAAGTGATCCACTTCCCCTTCTCTCATTTTTCATTCACATTATTTTGGACTTCAAGTCAAAATTTGCTTAGATTTCTTTGCAGTTTAAATATGCTTCAAATTTACTCTTTCTCATTTTCAGGACTGACCACAATAGCCAAAAAGCACCATTGCCTTGGAATTAAAATACACGGTGTGATTTTCTTCTTTTTTTTCTTAGGAAGCACGGGACATTTTTTGGAAAGATTTGCTAGAACTTAGTGTTGCCTAACTTAAAACAAGATGATTTAAAAATTAGTACTCTCCCAGGAGCAGTGTCTTTGAACAGATCATGTTATACGACTTTCTTCCACATAATGCCTTGTATTACCTTTGCTTTGTTGAATTGTCGTTGCTCATTTAACTTCTCTCCCCTGCTTTCCCCGTTAGTCCATGGAAGGCTGCTGCTGGCCTATGCAGTTTGAGTGGCCTAGCTTAGATTCTCAGATCCTCAGGCCCTCCTTTAAGGGACGTTTTGGGAGTAGAAACTACCAATTCTCAAATTCAGCATTCACTCCTTCACAGCATCAGGGAGAAGTTCCGGAGGCAGAGGAGTTTGGTTTGAATCCCTGCTCTGTCGCTTGCTTTCTGTTTGAGTTTAGCTACACAACTTGATCTTTCGGGGTCTTCTCTGTAAAATTAGAGGGCTGAGCTAGAAGCCCTTTTGCTTTTCGGTATGAATCCTATGATTTCCCCCTCAGAAATCGTGGGGTGGGGGGCCTCAGTCTATCTGCCGGACCCAAGCCTCCCTGGGCTCCAGTGGGGAACCCTGCAGTTTCCTGTGGTGCCCCTGCCCAGGCCAGACCCCACATGCTTAGTGTCGTGGAAAGGGGGCTGGATTTGGTGACGTTGGACCTGGGTTCAAATCTTGGCTGGGCTACTTCTAAACCTGCGTGACCCTGAGCAAGTCACTTCCCCTCTCTGGGCCTCAGCCTCCTCATATGTAAAATGTGGGGTCCCTTCCGGATCTTTGCTCCCAAGACCCACCTTGGCCCCCCGGGGTGCCCAGAGAGAATGGAACCGGAGAGAGGCACGTTCGGAGGCCCGGCCCAGCCACCAGGACCCAGCCTGCTAGCCCCGGAGGGGCTGCCCCACCCATGCCCTCCGGCCCTCTCGCGGAGAGCCCACCGCGACCCAGCCCCGCCCCCTCCCAGGCAGCGGCCAATCGGCCGCACCCGCCTCCAGGGAAGCGGAGGCGGAGGCCGGGGCTGGGAGAGAGGCAAGGCTTCCCGCCTTCGCCAGCACCCATTGGCTCCGGGCTCGGGGGAGCCCCGAGGCCGGAGTGCGACGGGATTGGCCAAGGCGGGTCGGGGCGGTGGGTCCCATTGGCTGCGCAGGTCCCCGTGATGCGGGGTGGTGACTGACGGCTCCGGGTCTGAGGGGCTCCTGCTTGTCAGGTTCTAGGTAGGTGCATTTCCGCGCGCCCGCCGTCGCCCCGGGCAACGCTGGGGGAGCGGGGAGGGCGAACCCGGAGCTGGGGCAACACCCCGCGCCCTCTGGGGGGCGCCCGGGGCTCGGCTGCGAAGGTGGTGGCCTTGGCGGGGGCTCCGCCTCTTCCTCCTCCTCCTCTCCTACTCCCCCCCACACCTCCCAGCCCCGGGGCCATTGCCCACCCTCCCTCGGGCTAGGTGAGGGGCTTCTCGCGTGGAGGGTGGGGTGCGAGCCTAGAGCCCCGAGGTCGGAGGCCCGGGCCTGCCCCTCTGGGGTCCCGGGGGGTGCCAGATAAGGGGGGAGGGGAGGTGGCTGGAGATGGCTCCGCCCCCGCCCCGCCCTGCTCCGGCTGCTGGGTCAGGGGGTCACTTAGTGTCCCCAGCCGAGGGGTACGTGGTCCTTACCCTGCCAGTGTCCACCATTCTCTCCCAGCTCCTCTGCCTGGCTGCCTCCCCCTCCCCTGGGCAGCGCTAATGGAGGGGGCGCGGGGGGGGGGTGGGGGCAGTGGGAGGAGGCCACCCTGAGACCTGGGGGGTCTTGCAATCCCCCCATTTCCTTAGTTTCCCTTAGGGTATGAAAAGGACAAGGGCCTCTAGTTTTTTTCCCTTCGTTTCAGCCTGTCTGCCCTGGGAATGAAGTGATTTCGGGGTTGAGAGGTGTTAGGAGGGATGGGAGACATTACTTAAAACCAATAGGATTCCATAGGTAAAGCATTTTAATTTATTTTTTTCTTTTGGGATACAAGTAGTCTCACTATGTAGTGATTTGTTTATATTGACAGATTTTTGTTTTCATTTTTCATTCTGTATTGTGAAAAATTGGCAATCTTCTCGTTACGTTCAGAGGAGGCAGCAAATTGCATAGTTGACACATTTTGAAACCGACTTCTATTCTACAATTACAGTTTGTTCTCTAAAGTTTTCTTCTGATCCCTCTCCTTTCCCCCTCCAAAAAACCGGGCTTTTAAAGATGTAACCTACCTTTGGCCAGCCTTTTGAGGCCGTGGGCGTGGCCAAAGGCAAGTTACAAAAATATAAATCAGTTTGACAGCAAGAGACAATATCCTGACCCAGCACGTGTTATAGTGGGTAAAGACCCCGTTTAAATCCATTTACGACACTTGGTAGCTGATGGCTTCTGCAAACTATGTAAAATGTCAGATTATTATTATTGTACCAGATAGAAACTTTGGGCTCACCGGGAAGGAGAAATGGTGGGGAAAGTTAAATTCCAATTAACTTTGCCACAGATTGCTGTTTTGGACAGCTGTGTTATTTAGCATGAGTCATTATTCTTTAATAAAGAGGTAGGCACTGTGATGAAGGCTTTTTGGATTCTTGGAGTGAGTACTTTTGGTGTACTAAAGAGTACTTTGATGTTGCCTAATTTTCTTTGCTGTGAATACTCCTATCAATACAGGTTTCTTCCTGGTCATCTTATTCCCTAAAATTCTTGGCCGTGTTTCCCTATAAAACACATATACCATGTGCTGAAAGCCTCCATTTCCAGCACTCGGGATTTTGTTATCCTTCATTCTTATTACATGATTAGCCCACCTCATTTTCTGGTCATACATGACATTCATGATGTTTTTTAGTGTTGTTGACTATAGATATAATATGTTACAGCCTACTTAAGGTTATCATTAGTGTTTCCATTGCCCTTTGGCAACTTGTTGTGACTCCAGATTTTTTTTGTAATTCCTCTGATTCATGTATCATTTTGATAACAGTGGTGTGAGACAGACTTATGCCTCAGTGAACAGTTTAGGATACTTGAAAACATGGAATTTTTCACATGTGATTCAGCCCTGTCTTTCCCTCAATTCTAGGACCATCTTATTGTCCCGTTTATATAACCTACTCAAGAAAAGTCCATAGTTGGACTAATTTAATAACCTAACCATCTAGATGATTATAATTTAGATAACACGTAAATTCCATTCAGTTTGTCTTTGTGTATGTGACTAGAACACTCACATTGCTATGAACTTTACAGAGATATTATAGTGTTCTGGGGCTTGCTACATTTAGTAGCACCCTATAAAATTGCAAATCTAGACATTGTTTTGTCAATGCATTATAGACATACTATTAAGGATCTGTTTTTTAAGGGCCCAATTTTTGAAGAGCCTTGAGTTTGCCAGGAACTGCAATTTATAATCCAGGTCTCTTGATAAATACCCAGATTTATTGGAATTTAGTTACTGTGAGATAAATACTCAAATGGACTTGGTGATCTCTTTGATTTGGGTATCCTTTGGAAACCTTAAAATGTTATATAAACACTAGCTATTATGATACTGATACTGATGGCGTATCAAATTTGCCACAGAGAATCAGTGGATCCCACTTCTGTTTACCTCAGACCTTGTTTTTTGTTATGTGACCAGCTTATCTTCCTATCCTACAATTCCTTGAAAACGTATTTATTTTTGTTCTTTGGAATTCTGTTACAGCATACTCACACTATTCGTGATGTTCATTGACCTCTGTGTGAAACTCATTTTAATTTTTTTTTTTTTTGGGGGCCAGGCAATGGGGTTAAGTGACTTGCCCAGAGTCACACAGCTAGTGTTATGTGTTTTAGTCCAGATTTGAACTCAGGTCCTCCTGAATCCAGGGCCGGTGCTCTATCCACTGTACCACCTAGCTGCCCCCTTATTTTAATTTTTGAGACCCAGTAGTGTTCCTGGTCTTGCTGCCTTATAACCACACTGGTAAATGGTAATATTAAAAAGGTGGTCCTTTGCTTTCGTGAAAACCTTAGTGTCAATAAAAGAGTTTTGCAGTTTCCAAAAAGCAATCCAGCATGTTCTCTTTCTCTTGTTCAAGTTTGTGCCCTATCTGATATTTCAGACATGCATACTGTTGGACAAACTCTATAGGGTGTCATCCAAATGCATAATAAAATCTGGTCAACAGATATTCTTCATCCATTTGCTCTTTCTGGATGGTTAGGTCAGGTTTCTTTGAGCGATTATAAATCACTAGGAGGATTTGCAGTGTTATTGGACTTGAAGCATTCAGCATAATATCATCTGCAAACAGGAGCATCTGGAATTCCTTATTATCTACAAGGAACGCTTCAGCTTGGTCTCTGAGCTGGATCTCCTCCTCTATCACAGTGGACTTTTGGAGAACATCTTTGTTTTATTCCTTGCTCGGATAAATATTTTCAGGAAGTTTATTTCTGTTTTTAAAGCTTTCAAGAAATCTTTAATAATAGATGGGAGACACTTTATCTTTGAGATACCAGCCTCATTGAGGCCATGAAGATAACAAATTACTTCATGTGAAAATGTTAGTTCATAGTAACATTTAGAAATTGCCCTTCTTGAACTTTCATGCTGCATAATGGGTTTTTTTCCCTGTTAGTGGTGGTTAACCTTAAATACAGTATTTTAAATAATTTAAAATTAATTTGGTACAACTCTTATAACACTTTAAATGTTAAAGATTCAATAATTATAGTAGAAATAATTCAGGTTTTTAATAGGCCAATTACTTTCACTATACCATCATCTGCTATATAGCTTTATATCCTTTGAAGGACAACATTTCAAACTTCGAGCAAATGGCATTCTAGGAGGATCTGCAGTGTTCTGGGATTTAAGATAGTACCCTAATTTGTTTAGTCATTTCCTAAATTATGAACATCTTATTCTTAGTAGCTCTTTGGTACAAAAAAAAATGCTGCTGTGACTATTTTGGTATATGTGGAACCTACCTTTCCATCTTTGTAGGTCTTTTGATTTTATAGTAAACCTGCAGTTTCTGAAAATTTTCCAATATTTCTAGCCAAAAGGCCAATCATTTTTGCTATAACAGCTTTCCAACTTAAGTATTTAGGTACTCTACTATGGCATTCTTTAACTTAAAGGCTTGATTTCCTTCTTAAGGACCATCCCTTAAACTCAAATTACTCAGGCTGTCATTGATTAGCCAACAATAGGTTCCAGCCCAAGCCTCACATGGTCATTGCTTGGGCCCTGATGGCTCCAAGTGAGTGTAAATAGCAATTATTTTTGTTTTGGCCAGAAATCCTGAGGGTCTTCCCTTCCCAGATTGATTATTTTATTTTATTTTTTTTACTAGGAAAAAGAGGCCATTCTTAGCCGCATTTCTTACTTAGCATTAATCATGGAATGGGCATTGCCTCTGTCAAACTGAGACCTGGGAAAGACCTTAACTTAAAAAGGCCAAGGTCTCCCACTGCTTCTGGGGCCATCTCCAGTTCTGATCCATATCTTGGCACTGGACCCACAGATCTCCCCAGAGGAGAGAGAGTGAGACTTGGTCACTTTACATAGCCCTTCCTCACTTAAATCCAATTCACTTGCAAGTCATGGCATCACCTTCCTGATGTCATGGTCCCCTTTGAGAACAAAGGGCAAACAACAACAACCTTTAACCGAAGCCTTATTTCAGGCCTGCACAACATACAGCCCAAGGACCACTTGCGGCATGCCACTTGTGGCGTGCCAACGCAGCCCGCAGTATGTTGTACAGGCATGTTTTACATCCTCTATGTTTTTTTGTGGGCAGCCTGAAATCTTTTGGTGGGCTGCAGTCGGGCCCTCAGGCTATATGTTGTGTAGGCCTGCCTTATTTCCTTTCTAACCTTCGATGCCTTGGAGTTATTTTTTACACCAAACATGGTTTCTCATTTTAATGTGATATAATAGGCCAGTAGGTGGGACTATTGGTGGTACCACCACCGCTATGAGTGCCTGATAGAATGGTAGAGCTGGAGTCTGGAAGAGGAGTTCAAATTTGCCCTTACTTGCCATGTGACTCTGGGCAAGTCACTTGACCTCTCTGTGCCTTGGCTTCCTTATCTGTAACTTGGGGATGGTAATGATAGCAGCGACTTCTCAGATTGTTGTGAGGTTGAAATGAGACAAGAATTGTAAAGTGCTTTGCAGACTTTATAGTGCTATATAAATGGCTATTATTAGCTATTGTTAAAAC